GTAAATAGTACCTCAATAAATTTCATTTACAAACAAAACAAAATGACAGTATATTTTTAAGAGTTCATTTAGAAAAAAGAAAATGACAATTTTTAATTAAAATATGAATACCTCATTTTTTTCACTTTAAAAAAATATGTTTTTATTGATTTCAGAGAGAGAAAGGGAGGAGAGATAAAAACATCGATTGGCTGCCTCTTGCATACCCCCTGTTGGTGCATGTGCCCTGACCAGCAATTAAACCATGACCTCCTGGTCCATGGGATAATGCTCAAACATGAGCCACACTGGCCAGGTTGAATACCTTATTTTTAAGAAATTAATGTATTATGAATAAAGCTAAAGTTTCCTTTGACCACCTTCCCAATTTTCACTGCCACCCCTTATCTCTCCCATTTATACTGTCTCCCCCAAATAATCACTGCTGTAAGTTTGGTATGGGTTCTTCTGCACCTTTAAAAATACATTTACATACATATATAGCCACTGAAAAAGTACAGTACTGTATATATCTTTCTGCAATTTGCTGTTGTCACTTAACATTATGTTTCTGAAATGTATCCACGTTCATATAAAGTTTATTTTTAAAATCTGATATAAATAATCTATTATATGACTATAGTGCATTTTATTTAGCCAGACCTTTCCCCTCCTGACAGATATTTAGGTTGCTTTTCTCTATTACAACTCACCAGTGTAGTGGTAAATAGCAGTTACCACTGGGTGGCCATAGGAATGGGAGATGGTGTTCTGTAAGGTTCAACTTTTTACAATGAGAATGCATTCATGTATTATTTATATAATTTCAGTACTGAATTAAAGAATTTTCTGATACATAAATTATCAAAAAAGAAAAAAGAACAAAATTAGTAACAGGAAGCAGTCATCTATTAAAATATATGGAAAACAAAGTTATAGGGCATAACAGTGTAGTCATGGTTTGAGACATAAGCACTTACTGAAAAATAGTGATCTGAGCACTAAACAGGTCATATAAACATTTTCCCCTATTCAAAGCAATTATAATGAAAATATCAGCATATTGGTTATCTTGGCATCAGCATAATTAACACATGCATGAATACTTCATTTATACTTTTTGCTTTCTTCTTTTATGACTATGATGTCTTTCCCCATCCCTGAAATGAAAGGGGTAAAAATAAAAACTATCATAAATGATGTACATTTTAATAGAAGAGCTTTAAAATAATAATTCATACATCAGATACAGTCCAGGACAAATGAAAATATGCATTTAGAACTGAAAAGTGATTTTTTAAAGGGTAAATGTGGAAACCACATCATTAAATCTAAGGGAGAAAATTGAGATGGGGATAAACAAAATGAATTTTCTAAAAGCTACACTTTGGAGCTCCACTTTAAAATTAACTTGAATATATGTACATGACTAATGATCAGAGAATTCATTTCAAGTAGAATACTAAAATCAGAGGAGAAATCAGAAACTGTCTGATGTCTTTAACCTGGCACCTGGCTCAACTCATTCTATCTCAGGGAGAATAGCAAAGATTGGCCTATTGAGAAACATTTCTGCTAATACTCTGTTTATCTTCTTTAAAAGAAAATTATTTATGTTTAGATTTTGAGGCTGACTAATGAATTTAAGTCAATAAGGATTGATCAGACATATCAAAATTTATTTAAGTTGAAAAATCACTAATAAACCAGGAAGAAGTTAAACAGCTGTTGTACATGCTTCCCTCCACGTCCCACATGGTTCAGGGTTCAGGATCTGGAAGAGGAGCTGCACACAAATGAAAGAGAAGACACAAGAGATAATTTGGAAATATTGGGGTGCCCGGGTCCAGGCCCAGCGGGCCAGGGGTTCCCAAAGGTGTGGACAGAGTCGGCGAAGAATGTTTTACACGGAGACAGTGTTCAGAACTCTCTAGCTCTCTTTAGTCTCCGTGGATCTTCCTGAGCCTGGCTGAGGCCACAGAGAATGATCCATGAGGCTAGCTGAGCCTTTATTTTATAGTCAGAGGTAAACAAGGTAGTGGTTACAATAGTTACACAATTCTTGTGAGTTTCACTTGTTTTGGCCACTTCCTGCACTTCCCTCAGCCCATTAGCTTCCCAGATAAGATCTGGGGAGCATTATAAGGTAAAGACTAATTATGCTAAGAGGACTGTGCCCTCTAAGCTGGGACTTGTTTGTGACTTTGCCAAAAGGTCAGTCCAAGGCTTAACCCTATATTGGCTCCCCACAAACAGCACGATTTCTGATAACTAATCAAGAGTTAATTTGTATAAAGTTATTATAAAACTAGAGGCCTGGTGCACAAAAATTTGTGCACTCGGGGGTAGGGGGTCCCTCAACCTGGCCTGTGCCCTTTCGCAGTCTGGGACCCCTTGGGGGTGACCACTTGCTGGCTTAGGTCTACTTCCCAGGGGAATTGGCCTAAGATGGCAATCAGACATCCCTCTGGCAGCCCGGAAGCCCTTGGGGGATGTCCACTTGCCAGGGGGGAGCAGACCTAAGCTGCAGTCAGACATCCTTAGCGCTGCTGAAGAGGCAGGAGAGGCTCCCAACACTACTGCTGTACTGGCAGCCGTCAGCCTGGCTTGTGGCTGAGCAGAGCTCCCCGCTGTGAGAGCGCACTGACCACCAGAGGGTAGCTCCTGCATTGAGCGTCTGCCCCCCGGTGGTCAGTGTGAGTCATAGTGACCAGTCATTCCCAGTCATTCTGCTGTTAGAGTCAGTTTGCATAATAACCTTTTACTATATAGGACAGAGGCCTGGTGCATGGGTAGGGGCTGGCTGGTTTGCTCTAAAGGGTGTCCCAAATCAAGGTGGGGGTCCAGCTTGGGTGCCTGGCCAGCCTGGGTGAGGGGCTGATTGCTGTTTGCAGCTGGTCACACCCCCTTCAGGGTAGGGGTCCCCACTGGGGTACCTGGCCAGTCTGGGTGAGGGGCTGAGGGCCATTTTCAGGCTGGTGGGCAACTGAGGATCCCAGCCTCTTTTTTTTTCATTTTTTTTTTATTTTATTCTGGGATTTATTTACCTTCTATAGCTTTCACTGGAGCTCAGAGCTGGCTCCAGCTCTGAGCCCGCTGCCGGTTGAAAGCAGGTATCTGGGGTTTGTTTAGCTTCTATAATTGCAACATTATTGCATCTGGAGCTCAGAGCTGGACCATGGCAGGCGGGGAACCTTGGCTTCCTCCATCACAGGAGCAAGCAAGCCTCATGCTTGCTTCAGCTGCATGGCTGCCAGCCGCCATCTTTCTTGGCAGTTAATTTGCATATCCTGCGATTAGCCAATGGGAAGCGTAGTGGAGGTATTTACCTTGTTTGTCTATTATTAGATAGGATACCATTCATTATATGAATCAAAAGGGATTCCTAAGCAAATATTTCATTTTTATAAGAGAATGACTAAATCACAGCTAGCTTTAAATCTTTAACTCAATGATAGTAAGATAAGTAAAATTATTAAACCAATAAGCCTTACAATTTCCTGATCACCAGCGGCCCTGGAGAGACAAGGCATCATTTGCGAGCCCATTATCAGACAAGCACTGTGCACATAAATCCTACATAAGACATGGGCCTGCCCTCGCAGAGCTCACAGCCTAGTAAGGAGAGTAATAATTAAGCATGTGCCAGGTAGACAGGTAACAAAATGGAAAAGATCAGCTGCATGGGAATGACTAAGCTGGGTCTTAAAAGATGAAGAGTTTACCAAGCAGGCCTTAGGCAGCAGAACATGACATGGCAAGGTAGAAATGTAGCACAGTGTGGATGAGAAACTGTAGCAATTCGGGTTGGCTAAAGCACTAGCTACCTATTTCATGGGTAGTGGCAAAATACAAGGACAGCTAGGCAGTTGCCCTGATCCTGGAGGTCTTGAGAGCCATTCTAAGGAATATGAATTTTGTCACTGAAGAGCTGTAAGAGGTGAAAGTTCACTCTGGCAGCAGGGTAGAGATGAATCCGTAAGGGACAAGCTTACAGACAGGTAGAGCAATTAGGAAAACAACCATCCTTTTCCAGATGGACAGCAATAATGACAGAGGAAGGGTAAATGAGGTCTTCAGGTAGAACTGACAGCAATTAAGACTGGATAGTAAGGAATAAGAAAGGAGTCTACTACACATTACTTAAGAAACTCTACCTTAAGGTAAACAATTCACTGTTGGACGATACAATGTTAGACTTACCTCCCTTTCTTCCTTCTTGAGTTCCAATATTTATGTTTTTCTTTTTCATTTATGTGGGCTGCTACTCCTATCCCTTCTATGCCGTGAACACTCAGCATCCAAATAGCTTCCACCAGACTGCCGGGAATCTACTGAAGCTGATCGCCTTTCTTCTCTCCTGAAACAGACAGGACCATTCATCAGTTCGCTTTCTTCACTGGTCTTCAGTGTGCCCCAGCCTAAAGTTAATGTTCTGCATCAGACCAATGATACAGTATCTAAATAAGTATGTGTCATCTTACAAGTCATATAAGAGGGCAAAGAGACACTGTTTTTATAACATGTTTTACAAGTCCAGTGTAATAATCCTGAGCAAAGATGAGAAACAATAAGTGCTCTAATGAATTCTGGTGTGCTACTGATGCCCTTGGAAATACCAAAACTTAAATGATTACAAGAGTTTAAAAAGAGAATATTTTCACCAATAAACACAATGACATACTTTTCATCATCATCCTCTGCTTTTTAAAAAAATATATTTTATTGATTTTTTACAGAGAGGAAGGGAGATGGATAGAGAGCCAGAAACATCGATGAGATAGAAACATCAATCAGCTTCCTCCTGCACACTCCCCACCGGGGATGTGCCTGCAACCAAGGTACATGCCCTTGACTGGAATCGAATCTGGGACCCTTGAATCCCAAGGCTGACGCTCTATCCACTGAGCCAAACCAGCCAGGGTTCATCCTCTGCTTTTTCCTACTCTTCTTGCCAATTATTACTGAGTTCTTCCATGTGCATATTTATCACATCCCGAATCACCTTAAAGAGTTAAGCACAGAATTTCAGATAAGAAAGCTGTTTAAAAAATTAAGTTTAGACTGGAAAGATGGCAGCTGGCAGGAAGGAGGTGAGGGATAGGAAGTGAGTGAATGAGTGAGTGAGTGAGTGAGTGAGTGGATGAATGGAGAGTGTGTGGATGTGTGAGGTGTGTGTGTGAGTGAGTGAGGGACAGCTAAATCCAGCAGGAGCAGCAGAGGCAGACTGACCAGGCTCTCTGGGACACGGAGAGAGTACCACCTCTGCGGCACTCCCCAGACTACTGGACCTGGGCACAGAGCCCACGCCATCTTAAAGGGGAGAGTGGCCTCTTCTAGGAACTCAGCAGCACCACCACCCAGACAGGCCTTGGACACTGCCTGTGACCAGCAGCCACTCCAGCCAAAATCCTGCAGCCACACCTTCAGACTCTGGGACTCTGCACCAAAGGAGCAAGGTGCCCCCAGCAGCAGTAAGTGCAGCCTCCCCCTTCCCAGCGGCAGACCTCCAACATTGCCTGTGCAGGCATTCCCATTCCTGTGTCTCCAGTGCACAGGTCTCCAAGGCACACCACTCCATAGACTCCTGTTAGGAGTCACAGGGAGACTCAGCTGGGTATGATTTTGTACAGACACAGGCTCACTGCCACCCAGTAAAAATTCTGAATTCCCTCTGCCTGAATAACTGCCCCCACACACCCAGCTGTGCAACTTAAGCACCAGGGCCCCTCAGCCCCAGGGCCCCACAGAGTGCATCAGAGCTCAGCGCCAGGGAACTGCGCCAGCAAACTGCACCGCCACAGTTGCTCACTCCCCCTCAGCCCATCTATCCACAGGGCACTTTGGGGAAGCCACTGTGAGCCTCTGCTGGGTCCAATCTTGGACTAATAGGGATGCACTCCCCTGGGTAGTAGAAATTCGGAATTCACCCATCCTGAATATCTACCCAAAGCATGCCAGGGCCCTTCAGAGTGCTTCAGTGTGCCTGCACTAGCAAACTCACTGCGGGTGCTCCTATGTGCCTCTATGGGGAACACAAGCTTATCCACCACAAGTGCATCAGCAAAATCTGAGTTTCCCCACCCCACAGCTGCGGAACTCTGGACACTACAGGTGCATGTTTTTCCAGTGTGCAGGTCTCCCAAGACCAACGCTCCACAGGCAGCCCTGGGGCTGCGCTGCAAGTCCTGCTGGTCATGCACTTAAAGAAAAAAGGGTGCACTGCTGGGCTGTAGAAACACTGAATTCCTT